AATATAAACCCCCCCCCCCCGCCCAAAGTGTTTCTCACCTCCTAAATAACGGTTACTTCGGTTATCTATAGTAGGCTACCTTGGTATAAGCCACCACTAAAAAAAAAATAAAAAAACCAAACAAAGATGCAGTTCCATTTAACTGCAGAAATGAAAATTGTCAGGAATACTCTTAACGTGTCTTACACTAAAGCACCACATTAATTTGACTTATAAGCCATTGACTTGAATGACTGTAGTAACTGTTTACCATGGTAAACTTGTAAGGGACTCAAGCAGTTACCTGTACAAGAGGAATGTAGAGCAGAATCGCGGCTAGCTGCGACACACCGATGAATCTCTTCATGTTGAGCCGGAGGAAAGTGAACCGGGGACGCTGTGTGCGCATCCACGCACCACCGAGCCCGCTATGTCCATCCACTGCACACATGCGCCGTCTCCAGAGCCCACTGCATTTTAATTTATCAACCACTTTACTAACGTTCAGTTACGCGGCGCTCATAATTCAAGAAACTCCAATAATCTACACGTGCCAAAAGAAACACAAATGGAACTTTTCCTTTTTGGCAATCGGATCACCGTTACTGGGGTTTGTTTGCGGTGAATCAGCCCACCCTCTGTGCTTATCCGCTCTAGTGGCCCACAGCATGAGAAAAGCAGTATAATTGGGTCAGTGTGGAGCACTGCGTTTGCTTTTTCACTAATATGACTGACAGGTGCTTTATGATCCACTTCCAAACCGCAGAAAACTAGAACATTGCCATACTGTGGCACAAGTTTGGCTCTTAACAAGAGAAGTCTCTCAAAAGATGAAAACTTTTACAGCACTTACCCTTAACCCTAATTCAGAGCAAGTTACACTGAAAACTTGTGGCATTTGTAACGTCTATGAAGCACATTTAACAATACTGGACCATTTAAACGCCCTTTTGGAGAACTTAGATTTTTCAGCATAATTTTGTAAGTCTTGAAAGAGTCCATCTTAAAAGTTTGAATGTATGATGGAACTTAATCTCTAGGGTTCTAGAAAGTCTTTTGGGAACCAAAACCAAACGATTGAAGGTAGATTTATAGCCATTTTGGAGTCACAGTTGACCGTTACATAGAACAGTGGAGCAACTTCAGGTTGGGTAGTTTGGCACAAAGTATTGTCAGACAGTTTAAGGTTCTAAATCATTTATTAAAAGACTGCTCATAGAATCAGTCTCACTTCTCCACTAGAAGCCACAGTATGTCCAAAAGTCGTTGTTTTCACAGCAAGATCTCTTCCTAAAAGGGGGGGGAGGGGGAGAAATCAAAGTGTCCAAAACTTAAGTCACAAATTAAGCAAAATTACAGCAAGAACTCACTCTTCCTGCCGCAGCTGTGCTCACAGGAGCCAGAAGAGGGATGGCACACCGCAGTACTACAGTGGATGAAGATCTGAGAACCTAATGTGCCCGTTACGAAACGCCAAGAGGCTGAGTCTAAAAGTGGTAAATCATACCGTTTCTTGCAGAGGAGCCAGTGATGCCGAATCTACAAACGTGAACATCTTCACAATAAAGCGCTTGTAGTGGGTTGGGAAGTGAAGACCAGATGATCCAGTCACTGGAACCAATGTGGTCAGGTAATGGTCATCCTGGTAAGGGCATCTGAAAGGGAAAAGGGAGGTTAGAAAAACCCCAGACTAGCTGGATAAACATTGCCATTACACTCACCCATCAACCAGAAGGTCCCACTGGGGTAGACTGAGTGGACTGGGGGTTGAAGTTGCCCAGCAGCGTCCCAGCATCAGCACAATGTTGGGGTCTGTCCTCTCCATAATGCGCACCTCAACATACAAAAGGTTCACACAGCACTTTTGTGACTGGATAATCAGCATCACTGTAGTAGGACGTGTAGGCCTCATCCCCTGAGGAACAACCCTGGTGATTAACCAGAAACTGCTGCAACCTGGAGTCTTAAGATACTAGGAACACATGGAACAAGAACATACCTTCTGCACACCCTTTGGTGACACACTGGCCATTGGCTAGTCTAAGCTCCACCCTGAGGGGTCCAGGGGCAGCTACTGGTGGAGGTGGAGGAACAGTGTTGACCTCCACAACCAGAGCTTCTACAGAAGTGCCGGAGTACCTACACTGGAAGAGAAGCCTGGACAACAGACGGGGAGCTTG